CACCTGATCTCTGCCTTCACTTTCACATGACGTTCTTCCTAGGTACCTGTCTGTGTCCAAACTTTCCCTTTTTATAAGGACACCAGTCATACTGGATTAGGGACTCATCCTACCCCAGCACAACCTCATCTTAACTAATTACACCTGCAGCAATCCTATTTCCAAATAAGGTGATATTCTGAGGTCTTGGGGGTTAGGACTTCAACATACAAATTTGAGGGAGACCCAATTCAGCCTATAACACAGAGTGACAGCTGTGTTAAGAGAATATGAGAAGCAGGACTTCCCTGGTGGCATAGTGGTTAAGAATCTACCTGCCAGTGCAGGGGACATGGGTTCGAGTCCTGGTCCGGGAAGATACCACATGCCGCGGAGCAACTAAGCCCATGTGCCACAACTACTGAGCCTGTGCTCTAGAGCCTGCGAGCCACAACTACTGAGCCCACGTGCCACAACTACTGAAGCCCGCGTGCCTAGAGCCCGTGCTCCACAACAAGAGAAGCCACTGCAATGAGAAGCCTGTGCACCACAACCAAGAGTAGACCCCGCTCACCGCAACGAGAGAAAGCCTGCGCACAGCAACAAAGACCCAACACAGCCAAAAATAAATATATTTATTTTTTTTAAGTAGGCTTAAAAAAAAAAAAGACAATATGAGAAGCAGTTGAATTTGACTGAAGAGCATGAAGGAAAGAAAGGAGCCAGGGATACTCCAATGTTTTTGACCTGAATTAAAATAATCAAGTTGCCATTTACTGAGACGGTGAAGACTGCAGGAGGATAAAGTTTGGAGGGGAAAATCAGAGTTCAGTTTGGGATATAATTCAAATAATTCAAATAAATATATGGATACATTCAAATAAAGACCAACCTCCTGTCCTAAGCTCCTCACTTGGTTTGGAATACTGGCAGGGTGGCAGAATGCCCTGTTATCTCAGCGAAAACAGAGGAGATAGAGCCTGGGAGTGTTTCCCTTCCCCGCACGTGCACACGCGCACACACACACACACACACACACACACACACACACGTCACCTAAGTGGCCCTCATTTCTGGTGCACTCCACTTCTGTTCATGGCCCACCTTCCTCATTACCTTTGTTCCATCATTCCACATCTCCTTATGACACCTCCCCATAAGCCTTAGAAAGTTATTAAGAGAATGAAGTCAGAGGTAATTAAGAGCTGCAGAGGTACTCTTTTTAACAGCTGTACTTTCACTAGCAACATTAAAATTCTGAGTGAACCTTAATAGAAACGGCTGATTAATTATTCAGTTGGCCTCAAATTTGATATTAACCTGTGACTCTAGTATCCATGGTCTGTTTGTCTTATATATTGTTGCTTTTCCAATCTGCATGATTTACAGTCAGCACAAGCGAAGATTTGCCTCTATAGTTTTCAATCACTCTGAATTAGATTCTTAGATCCAAGTGGAAAAATGACTTCTCCAAACAATAGAAAATTAAAATGCATAGTACGGCTAAACCACAGCAAAATAGAATTTTTAAAAATAAAGTCCAGGAAAAAAATAGGTCATCTCATAAAATTAAATCTAATTTCAATTTCCATTCTGACTGTGATTTTAATTCTAAAGTTCTCAGAATGTTTTGAGAACATTCATAAAGTGGATTAATTCTGCCATGGAGGTTTCCTTTATGGAAGGGTACTATTTAGGGGTGAATGAAAATTTTTCAATTTGCCTTTTAAAGGGGTGAGACTTTGTTGGTATTGATTAGGGGTGTGGTGATTTTCTCCTCTGCATGGTTCAATAACCAACATGATCAATTAGGCGAGTGGATACTCGATCAGAATAAGGTACTCCCTAAGTCTTCCGGATCTCTAAGGAGCAGTGCTTTCAGGAATACGGATGCCAAGATGATTCCCTTTGGCGGCTAAGTTTTTGAAACCTTCAGACCGCCATCTAGAATCTGGCCTGAAAGGAAGACAGGGCTTTTTGGAGTGACCAGTACCGCCGGCGGCTGAAGTCCTCTCCTCAGATAACGGTTCTCAAATTGAATTTTGTGGCTACATTGACACTCCGTGCTCTGATCTTGCTAGAACGACCGAAGGAAGTGGACGCGTTTCAGCACCCGACACCCGTCATGCTTCACAGCCCCGCCAGAGAAGCCTCTGACAGGAGACAAAGACAGGAGACAGAATTGGGCAGCCGGCTGCTCATCCGGAGGGAAAAGACCACGCCAGGGAAGAGGAAAAGGTGAAGTTCTCTGGAGACGCACAGGAGCCGGGCTTGGCGTTTCTGGGGCTGGGTCAGGGACTTCCCTTCTGCCGGAACATTTCCCCTGCTTCCCTCCTAAGCGTCTCTGTCTCGGAGCGCAGCAGAGCAGCGGAATGCCTAATGAAGCGTGCCCAGCAAGGGGCTTCAAGCTGCTCGGGAAGCAGGGCTGGGGCGGGAGGGGCAGAGTCAGGTTACAGGTTCACACGTTCTCGGAAAACCGTTCGGAAACCTGGGCTGGAGACGCAAAAGCCGGGACCCACGCAAGGCCGGGGGCGTGCCCTTCGGGCCCCGGCAGCCGGGCCTGCGCTCTCCGCCTCGCTCTAGCACGTGCCTGAAGCCGGTCGGAAAGGCCGCGGGCAGAGCCGTCAAGCTCCGGGCCGCCGGGGACCGCGGCGCTTCTCTCTGGGCATCCTTAGCACACGGTCCTTCCGGCCCGGGGCCGCGTCCGCTGGGGTGCCTGCGGACGCGGCCGACGGCCCACACTCCCCGCAGGTGCGCACGGGGTCAGCAGCGGCCCGCCCGCGTCCAGGGGCGCCGCCGCGGCCGAGCCCCCCTTCCCACCCACCCCGGCCAGGGGCGAGGCGCCTGCGGCCCTCCCCAGGAGACAGACGCTGGGCGCCGAGTCCCGCTCCGAGGGTTTTCCGAATCGCTCATTTCCCCCTCGAGCGAGCTTCTGGCGCTTATCCAGGGGCCTCCCGGGCTCCCAGCTCCAACCCCTGAAATAAACGCGGCGCCTGTCCAGAGAGCGGGGGAGGGGAGACGCCCGTGTGCACGCGGAGAAAGAAAATACCGGAAGAACGACCCCGTTCTCTAGGAAAAGGTAATGAGGGGAAGCGAAACAGTGTGAACTTACTCGGAAATGCAAAGCGAGCTCCACTCTCTCCGGGCGCATACAAACGAGGGAACGACGAATCCGCCGACACGGCCGGCGGCTGCCCAGGAAGGGCCTCATGCATGAGAATGGGTTGCTAGGTTTCCTCGTTCCCTCCGACACCCGCTTCCCCCAAGACATCCACCGGCGGAAGAAAGCGGGCCGGGCCCAGGCACGGCAGAGCGGGGGGACCGCGCCAAGCCCCCGAGGCCGCTCCCGCCGTCAGGACCCTGGAGAGCGGCAGCCGCGCCCCGGGGACCCGCGCCTCGCCGCCAGGTCCCTCGCCTTCGCGGCTTCCCGCCTCCCCCTTCATTTTTCTTGGCAACCACTTCTCTCGCTCTTCACCAACAGATTAAATTGCCTTTTTGTTTTGCTTGAGGGGGCTGTTTGGATTGGCTGAGTTAGGTTCCGGTTTGTAACTTCACTAAGTATTAGTGGACCAAGAAGCCCTGAGAGCTCCAAAACGAGAGCCTGAACGAGGCGGGTGACCTTAAAAAGCCACTGAGGGACTTCCCTGGTGGCGCAGTGGTTAAGAATCTGTCTGCCAGTGCAGGGAACACGAATTCGAGCCCTGGTCCGGGAAGATCCCACATGCCGCGGAGCAACTAAGCCCGCGAGCCACAACTACTGAGCCTGCACTCTAGAGCCCGCGAGCCACAACTACGGAGTCTGCGCGCCACAACTACTGAAGACCCCGCACCTAGAGCCCGTGCTCCGCAAAAGAGAAGGCACCGCAATGAGAAGCCCACGCTCCGCAACAAAGAGTGGCCTCCGCTTGCCACAACTAGGGAAAGCCCGGGCGCAGCAACGAAGACCCAACACAGCCGTAAATAAATAAATACATTAATTAATTAATTAATTAATTAATAAGACACTGAGTTCAATCCTTTACTTCGTAAATGAATCAGACCAACCCAAAGAATAAAGAATCTCCCAAGGTTTGCCATGGAGTTCATTTCAAGGATGAGTCTAGACCCCTGGGCCTCTGACTTCTAAATTAATGTTTCCCTATGCCTTCCAAGAAAATAATACTTTTATCTTAAACTCGGCCGCTTAGCTCTCCCAAGCAACAAGCGGAGGGTGGAAAGGCCTGTGTTCGGGGAAATAAGATGGACACGGCGAGTGTGGAAAGGGGGCCTGTAGACTGTGCTCTTAAGTCCTGGTCTCCCCTGACCCCCGCACCCAGCACCCAGCACAACCAGAGTCACATGGCCAGTCCCTTTTCCGCCAGCCTGAGGACCCCTCACCTTCTGCCTGTATCCAAGCCTCCCATGGACACCTATCACAAGGACCTAGTAACCTCATACCAACTTCTGGTAGAGCTCTGGGCACTTTGGAAGGTGGGAAAGGACAGGGGGAAAGAGGAGGCAGAGCCAGAGCCAGAGCTGCAGAAGTGAACTGGGAGATCTTCATCCGAAGTCGAAAGAACCAAGAGAGGCGAACACTGACGCTCCTGTACACGGCACCTCACAGTGAAGGTGCCTACGAATTCCCTGGGAATGTTAACATTCCGATTCTCATGCAGTAGGTCAGGATAGGGTCTGAGGTTCTGCACTGCCAACAAACTCCTCGGTATTATCCAAGCTGCTGGCCCAGAGACCACACTCTGAGTAGCAAGGAGTTTTAAAGGGGTGGGGGGAGAATGGGGGGGAAGGGAAGCAGGGAAGAGAGGGGAGGAAGGAGAGAAGGGGATCTCCCCTGTTAAGCAGAGGCCTTTCCTTTTGCTCTCACCGACCTTCTCTTGCACCCCGAAAGTAATGCCTCGAAATGCCGCAGTAACTGGCACTCTGCACCTTTTCTTCAGTCTGTAGCGGGACCCGACAGTGACGGTGTGTGATTTTGTTTCTCTCCTCCCCCTCCTCTCGCCCTGCCCGCCGCCGGCCCTGCACAGCTCCCAGGCTCGCCCGCTGCCCCGAAGCTGCTCGGCCTCCTCTCCGGTACGCGCTCTCCGGCCTCGCGCGCTTCTTTGCTCACCTTCTCCAGCGACCCCTTCCTGGGGCTCCCCTGCGGCGCCCGGACTTCTCCCTTCTGCTCCCCGTCCTGCCAGCTGCTGGGCTCGCGCCGCGGCCGGAGGAGCGGCCGGGCCGCCTCTCGCTCCTGCTCAGGGCAGCTCTGGCACTGCCCGGCCGACCCCCAGGGGGACGCCTGCCCCGGGAAGAGGACGCCGGCGCCGGGCAGAGCCCGCCCAGGCCCGTGAGTACTGTGCTCTCCGCCGCCCAATCCGCGGCCTCAGCGGGACGCCAGTTTCCCGGGTTCCTCCCTAACCCCGACTGACCCACTCCACGTGGGGCGAGCAGGGGATCCCGCCAGCAAGGCGAGAAGGGGAGGGGGGCGGTGGGAAGGTCGAGATCCGGCCGAGAACGCTCACGGAAAAGGCGCCGGCGGCCCGCCGGACACCCCTCCCCCCAGGAGACCCTCGAAGCTACTCTTCTCGGGCCACTTCCTCCCAGAGCCTACGGAAGAGGGGGGGGAGCCCCCCTCCGAAATCGCTTCCCGAACTCACGCGTCGCTCTCCTGCCCCTCCTCCAGGCCTCCCCCGGACGAGCCTCCGCCCCCTCCCCGCGCTCCCACTCCCCAGCCCCCGGCTACGGCGCGCTCGGGAGGCCAGGGAGGAAATGACGTGATGTTATTTTAGTGTCAGGTCGGCTTCCAGCTTCAGTTTACCCCGCCGAGCTCGGGCGCACTGCCCGGAGGTCGCACCGCGTCTCCCGAGGGCACACCGGGGGCTCCAGGGCTCCGTGCCCGCAGAGCTGGTCGGCGGCGGCGGCGGGGTTCCCGCCACCCTCCCTGGACTCGAGAGTCGGGAGTTAGCCACCGACCCCCGCCACCCAGCCAGGGGGGACCTTCGGCTCCGGCAGGAGGGGAGGGCGCGAGGAACCCCTTTCAAGTTTGGTACCTCCGGAGGCGGAGGCTGCAGCCGGGTGGGGCGGGGATAGAGCTGGAGAAGCACCCCGGGGAAAGGGAGATGATGGGGACCGGCCTCCAGAGGCGAAGAGTCCACAGCCGGACCCTCCGGGTACGAGCACCCCGGCGCGCCGCGCACCCCGGGCGCACACACGGGTGCCTGACCCCGCCCGCTCGGTTCACAAGATCCCAGCACGCTCTCCCGCTCGCCGGGGTCCCGCTCGGCTCCCGCGCGCCCAAGCATAGGGAGAGCCGAGGGGCCTCTGCGGGGCCCACACTCTCGGTACTTCCTACCCCGGGGCTGAAGAAGGGACCCCCGCCCCCCGCCCCGCCGCAGAGGAGCGCGCCGCCGCGGAAGGGAAGCGAGCCCTGGGTGGCCCGGCCGGGGAGGGGGGAGGGAGGGGCGGGGAGAGGCAGAGGCGAGGGAGGGAGGTGGGGGGGAGAAGAAGGCGACAGGAAAGACGGAGAGCCAGAGGAAGAGGGAAGCCGGGGAGAGCGACAGCGGGCGTAGCGAGGGCAGCACCTAGAATTATCATAAAAATAAGGCACTCGCGGGACGCATGCGCACCGCCGACGGAGGCGCGCGGGCCGCAGCTCCCCCTCGGGCTCGCGGGGCAGACGGTGGAAGCGTGAGTACCCACTTCCTCAACGCCCCTTCTCCCTCCCGGACTCGCCTTGTGGCCTCGGGTCGGGAGGTGGCCGGGGCCAGGCGGGGCGCGCACGCTCGGCTGGACCACGGTGGCGGGAGCGGGCCAGCGTGCAGGGCGTGCGGGGCTTGGGGTGTGACCGGGTCTGAAGGGGCTCCGCCGCGGCGTCCGCACGGTTCGACCTCTGTGGCCCGGCGTCAGCGAGTGGGTGGGCTACTGACACCCGAAGCAGACCTGGGAAACTCCGGGCGCCGGAGGCGGGCGGTCTGAGCGCAGGTGGGAAGGAAGCGGAGACGCTCCCGGAATCGCAGCGGAGACGCGCCACTACGGCGGGGACCGGAGGAGCCGGGCGGGAAGCAGGCGCCCGCAGCGGACCCCGGGGGCCTGACTCGGTGTCGCCACTGAAGCTCGGAAAACCGAATGGACAGAACCGTCCCCACGCTCTGCCCGAGCCGAGGGGGGCGGAGGGGGGAGGCGGGCGCCGCGAGTATTTTTCTTGCAGGAACCCGGCAATTGAGTCTTCCGCGCTCTCGGGGCTGCGCTCGGAAGTTGGAACGAGTCTGGCGCCCGGGCTACGGGGACCTCCGGGACGGCGGCGCGCGGCAGGGACTGGGCTTCGGGTGGTCGGCGGGCGCAGCGACTCCCCTACCCCGGGCGTGGGCGGGGGAGGGGTCGCGGAGGCGGCGGGCTTCCGGCGGGCTGGTCTGGTGCGCCCGGGGCCCTCCCGCGGCGGGGGGAGAGGGGGGGAAGGGATGGGCAGCGGGGGGAGGAGGTGGCGAGGGAGGGGTCTGGGGAGGGGCAGCGCCCGGGGACCCGATCGGCTTGCGAGCCCCCGGGAGTCGCCAGTGTCCGAGGAGAGCCTGGGCGGGCGGCAGCGGCGCGGAGCGAGCCCGGCGGCGGCGAAGGGCGCGGGCGCGGGCGCGGGCGCGGGGCGGGGGACGCGGCCTCGCCAGCAGCTCAGCCCCCCGCACCCCCCGAGGCGGGCCGGGTGGAGGAGTGAGCGCCGAGGCCGAGTTTCTGGCCGGGAGGGGGCGGGCGCTCCGAGGGAACTCGCTCCCACATCTCTTCCTCGGGAGAATCCGGCCGAGGCCGAGCGCTCTTTGTCCGCCCCCGCCCAGCCGATCGGCCGGAGGGCGCGGGTTGCGGCGACCGCAGCCGGTCCCCGCAGCGCGGGCGGGCAGCAGCAGTCACTCGCCCGCGGGAGCTCGCGGTGGCCCCGGAGGCGGGGAGCTTCTGCACCGTCTCGTTACCGTCCTGGGTCAGCACCCCCTCTCCTCTGGAGCGCAGGTCGCAGGGCCCCTGCGTGGCTTGGCTTCTTTCATTTCTGGTGGTTCCAGATTGTGGAATTGACCAAACAGGGGTCCGAGTTCACGAAATGGTGTGAATTCCTCCCCCGACTTGCCAAAGGAGATGTGTCATGGAAAGACTCTATCTGTAAACTCTTAGTTTTTTGCTTACAATCTGATTTTCTACCGGGCTTCTTCCGGTTTATCTCCTGTTCCTTAAGTGGCGTCTTTTGTATCAGTATCAGTATCGCAAATGAGGGGCAGTATTGCCCAATGGATAAGAGCCGTGGACTCAGTAACTGTCTAGATTCAAATCTCAACCTAGTGGTGTGACCTCGGGCAAGTTGCTTAACCTCTCGGTGCCGTAGTTTTATCATCTGTAAAATGGGGATAAGAAAAATACCTGCCTCACAGGTTGGCTGCCAGCATTCAGTAAATTAATACAGCAGAGCTCTGACAAACACCAAACAAAAGTTACTATTACTATTGTTATTGTATTGGTGCTAAATTGGCTAAGTAGACTACAAAATATTAAAAGATGAGGAACAAAATGCACATTTTGTTTGTTATAAAGAGTATACGTGATGAAATAGAAGATGTCCGTCAAAATAGAAGATGTCCATGCTAAATTGGCTAAGTAGACTTCAAAATATTAAAAGATCAGGAACAAAATGCACATTTTGTTTGTTATAAAGAGTATATGTGATGAAATAGATGTCCGTCAAAATTAGAAAAATAGAAAATGTTTAGAAAATGTTTTCTATGTCAGTATCTAAATTTAGAAACAATACATTTCTATATCATCTGGGCCCTCTTATTTCAAATAATTATGGAGTATTTATATGCAATGATTCAAATAGCATTTTAAGAAAATTATCTCTAACCTTCAAAATATTTCACCTTGTAAAACAGATATGCATTAAAACTGTGTATTAGGTCATGGTATACACAGAAAATCTGATGTCTGCATTAAAATATTGCCCGGAGTCAGTTTTACTTAAGAGAATGTGGAAACTTAGAAGCTAGACATGCTAACTTCTCTAAGATCGTTGTAAACATTTTAGCCGAAATGCCCTTGATATCAAAAATATAGAATGATAAAAGTCAGATTATTTATTTACCTCCTTCACTTTACAGGTGAGGAAACATTCAGAGAGGTTAAAGGTCAGATATCTGCAGCTAAATAGAGGCCGAAATGGGATTAGAATTAGGTCTTCTGGCTCTGCCCAGGCCTCTTACACACCACACAGGTGATTTCCTGTTTACTGCAGATTTATGGACCTTTAACAAATAGGAAACCAGAAGGTATGATATAAGGAAAAAATATACAAGCACGTGTTATCAGCGACATAAGAAAGGCCGGGCAGTAATGTGGCTACTGCTGGCCGACCACTTTATCATGGTCCCTCACATCAGAAGATATGACCACATGACTTGCTTGAGTTATGGGAAGGTCCCAGATCAAGCAAGAGGTAGAGCCAGCGTTAGAATTTAAGGTCCCACATTTGGCTGCGTATTCTGTTAATCCCTTGCAGTGGTTTTACATTAGAAATCAGTTTTGAGCTTTTCCTAAATGTTTAAAAATCTCCTTCCTGATGGCTTTGAAGGTCTTTCCTGTAAGAGAGCTTTTTAGGAAAGTCTTTCAAGATTACATACCAGGAGATTTTATTATTCCAGATTTTGTAGACAAGCATGCGTGAAAAAGGAAAAGAAGCTTTCTTATTTTAATGCAATTGCCAGGTGACTGGTTTCGTTCCAGACACCTGAACACCAGTTCCGAAAGTTCTGCTGTTTTTTCATTTCTGCATGTGTCCCTCTAATGACATTCACCTTTCACGAACAGACGCAGCTTGTGGCTTAAAGGTCCAGCCCTCATATAAGCGGTTTAGAAATTACATGGCAGAGCTTTTTACTTGAGTGTCTGGCCTTGCAAAGTTATTTACAGGAATGCTGTGTTTGCCAGGGAAGGCACTTCTAGGAACTGTGCCTACGTCCTTGAAGAAAGAAACCATGGTTTTCTCCAGTCGTGAGCGCGATGTCTTACCCTTGACTTTGCTTCTCTGGACACATGTTCTTAGACAGAAATCCAGGGCATTAAGCAGGGAGTGACTTTCTAGCAGGCTCCCAAGCCAGTCCAGCAGAACTGAGTTTTGAAATCACACTTATCGAGTCAGGTCCCATTATGATTATAACGTGAATCACTGTTCAACTGGGAATGTTGCCGATTGGTTTTCTATACAGCAACCAGGTGACTCACAGTGTGAGCTTCTGTTCAAATTCCTATAGTGTCAGCAGCAACTAATAGGGTTCACTCCGAGTCAGAGCCTAGCATTTAGTACAGTACAAGTGAGTCATT